CTGAAGAGGCATCCACAAACCAGGACTCCCTATAACAATCAGAGGATGGGCCCAGGTTTCTCAGGGATCATTGCTTCCTCCCAGGGAAACATCTCAGAGTCTCCTCATAAGCCAGGGGCCGACTTGGACAGACCATCAATTGCTTATATGCAAGTTGAAAGTGAAGTTGTAGAACATTAAGACAAGTTCACAGAGTCAACATATGACCTTGATTATATCCCACCTGAATTTAGGGACCATCTAAAGAATAGATTTGAGACATTGAACAACAATGACCAAAAACCAAATGAATGTGGGATGACATCAAGAACATCATCTGTGAAGAAAACAAAAGATCATTAAAAAGACAAGAAAGGAAGACAAGACCAAAATGGATGTCAGAAGAAACTCTGAAACTTGCTCTTGAACAGAGAGTAGCTAAAGCAAATGGAAGAAATGATGAAGTAAAATAGCCAAAGAGAAGATTTCAAAGGGTGGCTTGAGAAGACAAAGTATGAAATGTGCAAAGACTTGGAGTTAGAAAACCAAAAAAGGAAGAACTTACTTGGCATTTTTCAAGCTGAAACAAACAAACCCAAATTCAATGCCATCGAGTCAATTCTGACTTATAGTGACCCCCATTGAGTTTCTGAGGCAGTATATCTCTACTGAAGTACATCACCCAGTCTTCCTTCCATGGAGTGGCTGGTGAGCTTGAACCACCAACCTCCTGGTTAGCAGTCAAATGCCTTAGGCACTACACCACCAGAGCTCCTTATTTGAAGCTGAAAGGACTGAAGAAAAAATATGAAGCTTCAAGTTGCAATACTGAAGGATTCCACAGGCAAAATATTGAATGATGCAGGAAGCATCAAAAGAAGATGTAAGGAATACACAGAGTAATTATATCAAAAAGAATTGGTCGATGTCCAACAACTTCAGGAAGTGGCATATGATCAGGAACCAATGGTATTGAAGGAAGATATCCAAGATGCACTGAGGGAATTAGTGAAAAACAAGGTTTCAGGAACTGATGGAATACAACCAGATGCTGCCCTGGAGGTGCTTACCCATCTATTCCAAGAAATTTGGAAAACAGCTCCTAGGCCAACTGACTGGAAGAGATCAACATTTGTGCCCATTCCAAAGAAAGGTCATCCCACAGAATGTAGAAATTATTGAACAATATCTCAATATCACAGTCAAGTAAAATTTTGCTGAAGATAATTAGAAAATGGTTGCAGCAGTGCATTGACAGGGAACTGCCAAAAATTCAAGCCAGATTCAAAAGAGGGCAGGGTACAAGAGATACCATTGCTGATGTCAGATGGATCTTGGCTGAAAGAAAAGAGTATCAGAAAGACATTTACCTATGTTTTATTGAGTATACAAAGCCATTAAACTTTGTGGATCATAACAAATTATGTCTAACATTGAGAAGAATGGGAATTCCAGAACAGTTAATTGTGTTCAGCAGGAACTTGTACATAGACCAACAGGCTGTTGTTTGAACAGAACAAGGGGATACTGCATGATTTGAAATCAGAAAGTGTCCGCACCAGGGTTGTATCCTTTCACCATACTTATTCTATCTGTATGCTGAGAAAATAATCCAAGAAGCTGGACTATATGAAGAAGAACATGGCATAAGGACTGGAGAAATACTAACTAACTACCTGCAATATGAAGGTGATACAACCTTGTTTGCTGAAAGTGAAGAAGACCTGAAGCACTTACTGATGAAGATGAAAGACTACAGTCTTCAGTACAGATTATACAGCAATATAAAGTAAACCAAATATCCTCACAACTAGACCAGTAAGCAACATCACAATAAATGGAGAAAAGACTGAAATTGTCAGGGATTTCATTTTCCTTGGATCCACAATCAATACCCATGGAAGCAGTGGTCAAGAAATCAG